GGATTGACCTCCATTCATCAAATCCAGGCCTCGCTTGAATTATTGATCTTGTTCGGATGGGATAAACTAAAGTCTCTGCCACATCAGCTTCGACATCTTACTGCCCTCAAGCAATTGATGTTAGTGGACTTCAATGGCCTGGAAGCTTTGCCAGAGTGTTTGGGAGACCTCTCTTCTCTTCATAGGCTGGAGATCTTGAATTGCTCTAATTTGACTCATTTGCCTTCTATTGAAGCCATGCGACGCCTCTCCAACTTACAATATCTTTGCATTTGGGATTGTCCTAAATTGAAGAAAAGATGCGCCAAAAAGAGGGGCCTCGAATGGTCCAAGATAGGCCTCGAATGGTCCAAGATATCCCACATTCACAATATCAGTATAGATTGGGAGGACGTGAGGCAGGGGGAATGCAAATTCTCCATGGGTATGTTTAATTTTTGAAACCTTAATCCTTCCATTCCATATCATTTTTGTATACCCTAAGCAGAAATTTAACAACTGTAAAGCATTTCTTTTTAATTTCTGAAACATACTAACATATTATGTTATTCAAAAATTCAAGTTGTAGTCTTTGACCAAATTTTGGTGATTCTTGCAGAGTTCTATTGGTTGTTAAGATTGCGACATCAAGTGTGGATGTGATGTGTTGGTATGAGGTGAAGTGCAGTAAGCGATTTGAATCGATAAAAATCGTGGATATTGAAAAATCGAGTTAGTCAGACTAAATACTTATGCATCTGCACAGGCCTCAGAGTTCATCCAAACCTAGTGAGTTCCTGAATTCCATTTTGTAATCCTTCTGTTCTTTTTTTTCTTTTTCTTTTTTTCATTCCAATTTCATAGCTCTGTTTTTTTACCAATAGGTCCTTTCTTATTTTCATAATTCTTAGGCATCAATCATTCCAGTAGCCATCGCCGAATTGTGAACTCATGCATAATCAAATGCTTAGATTAGCCAACTGTAAATTTCTGATGGAGTAGAAGACTGGCAAGACTGACAATCAAAAGCTTTCATTTTTAAGGTCTGTTTTTTCCTCCATAATCCTTTTTTTTTTTTAAGATTTTGAGTATGATTTGTTTTATTCTTATGTGTATTTCTTCATTAATTCAGTTTTGTTCACTATTTTCATTTAAATAAATGCAGGCAATCTAATTTTCCTGCTCTGAAACCAAAAATATCATGATGACTGGAGGGTGATTTTCATGCTGGGGACCCAACCAGATGAGTGGTCCTCTCTTTGAGTTGTTGATGCTCATAAACAGATTTAGCTATTCTACAGCCGTGTAGTTTTTGAATTATGACCACATTTTGAGGTGCAAGTTTACTGGTATATAGACTTCTGTCTTGCTGATCAAAGTCTTGAGCTGTCTCAGATTGCCAATTTAAGTGGACTGCCCTGCAAAGGTGGGTTCTAAAACTAAAAGTCATCTTTTAATTAGGGTTTGATTTTATTTTAGTAGGATTTGACTTCATTTTAGTGATTACAATTCACCAATAAAAGTTACATATAAGTTAAGGAAACAAGATATTCTTCTTTACTTGGTTAAGGAATGATCTGTAGAAATCTGCATTGAAACATTTTCAATCATGGTTGTTGAAATTTCTTCAGGGTTACTATGCCAATTGCCTAATCTGTTGTCAAACTAAACTCTTGGCTCTCTTGTCAGTGCATAAACCAAAGTTTCTTTAGGTTTGTCTTGTTACTTTGAAATCACATGTGCCTTTAATCGATTTATAAATTTGATCAGTTTAATTTCATATTAAATCAAACTTTAAGCAAAGAATTTATTACATTTAATGTTAGAGATTATGGCGTTTTTGCACTTGCTACTTTGCTGACTGTTATTGATTGAATCTAGAGTCTGGACTCCTTATGACTTTGTGAACTTCAACATTTTGAGAACATGCTTTTCCCATTGATAAGAGCAATGCAACGTCACTAGTATAACTGATGGCAGCAGTCTTTTCAGTTTTTCTTGGAACCTACAGATCCTGGTGCCATAGATTGTGTGTACACACATTTGCAGTAGTGAGGAAGACATTGAATTTTACTTGGAATTAACCAAAAGATCAACTCTTCCACCATTTCTCAGGGTCTTGTGGTTTTATGGTAGAATATCTCTTTCAACTGCCAACAACTGAAGAAGATGGTATGGCTTTTCAAACCTTTTCTTTGAATCTAAAACATATTATACCTTGTTTTGAATAAATTCTCCCTACAACTTAGAGTTTGATGATGTAATAATAGACATGCAATCAACAAATGGAGGGAAGTGAAACTGACAATCAGATCCCTGTGCACCAAGTTATTGCATGTAGGACGGTCTCAATGGCATCAATGTGGTTATGATAGAGTTATAACTCCGTAAGTTTTCCCCTTTAAAGGCGTTTCAATATTTTCATCGTGTTTTGTAGATGTAATTGATGGAAATGAGTAAAAAGGCCAACATTAGCATCTAGGAATCAATGATACTGAACAGATTGGGGTATTTTGTTTCAGGGATTTATCAAACAATGGCTTAATCAGAGAAGTGCAAAACTTTTGTCTCAGCTAGTCTTATTGAAGAAAATGTAAGTGCCAGGTGCATTTTGAAGGGTTCATTTCTTCTTTTCCCAGTTTCTTTTATTTGGTTATACTTATACATATAATGGACTCTCAGTCAAAGAAGGGATTATAATGACAGACACTGAAAGCACAAATTGGATAAAATGAACTCTCTTTTGTTCTTATTCCCTTGTGCTTTGTCGTCTTTACTTTATAATACTTGTTCTTGCTAGATTACATATAAATTGAAAATGTTGGCTTTGCAGGTTAAATCAAAGTTTAGCTGGTTAGCAATTCTATTTTTGTGGGAGCTTCTGATATATTCCTTGTCTTCTTACTCTGCTAATATCTAGGAGGAGATGGGGAATGCAATGAAAACAGAATGATTGGAGTTGGAATTCAGTATATTTCAGTGTTCATCAAAGCTTTGTAAGGCCTTGTCCTCCAAATTCTCACTTTTCTTTACACTAATTGCATTTTCTTCTGGTTGCTTTGTTCTTAACTTTGTTTCATTCATATTTCTGATATATTTCATCGTACTTCTCATACCATTACCAGGAAAACATTTTTGAGAGTGCATGTAGCAGTTCATAATTTGTTTCGTTTAGATTCATGTCTTGAAGCAGATGTGAACAAGATTATATGCTTCACTTTCTAAAATGCAAGGAGCAATTGGAGATATATGAACGAGAAAAAAGAGTACACCAAAAGAAAAGGTAGTGATTATGAAGCACAAATTAAACTATGTTGATTGCATTTCATTTATTTTGCTTTGATTCATTTCTAAAGAGTAAAATGAACCCTTGTTTCTTCAGTGCCTCTGTTCTTTGCCTTGGGAAGCTATGGCAGAAATCTACTGCGGCTCATTAAGTGTCTTCAAGCAGATGCTGTAATATGTTTCATCGTCTGAACTTATGCCTGTTTCATTCTCATTTGTTCTCCATTTTCCTGTTGTATTACTTGGTTTCTCTTTCCTTTTGCTGTTCTTGTGATTGTTTGAAGATGATTTTGCAACACTCTCTTGATATGGTGGAGCTATTTTTCATGGACCGGAGGTCCCGTGGTTTTTACTCTTCGATTTGAAGGGGTTTTCCATGTAAAAATTGTGCTGTCTCCTATGTGTGTTCATTTGCTTGAGCCATTTTCATTTGTTTACATGTTTAATTACTGTCGTATTTGTTGATCTGAAAAAGAAACTAATCTCATAAACCCTTCAAGTTTCACCTGTCATCTCGAATCACACTTGCAAATATGGGTTTAATAACAATATTCATCCGTAAATATTTACGAAACAAAGCCTATAGCTAGGAAGACTTTGTCCAATATTCCCTTATTTATTTGTCTGAGACTCTGCTTCACAGTCAAAGTATAAAATACCCTGCAAAAAAAATTGTATGAAATAATCCATATATAACCAAGATGGATTCAGTCGGCACACTTAAACAGTTGGATCAAGTTAATTTGTACTAAGTTAATAATTTGTCAAATTAACAAGTTAAATAACTTAATAATAATATTTTTTAGTAAAAATAACATTTTAAATTTAAATTATATTGCATGTGAATAAAATGAATTAAAAATAAAAGAAGGTTGTCTTCAATTATATCACATGAGATCAAAAGGGAAAAAAATTAATAATTCTTGAAAAGTACACTTGAGAGAAAAAGAGCAAACATAAATATTTCTTTTTTTGTTGGCAATAATAATATGAAAAAAAATTGCAGTATCTGATTGTACTAAAACTATATAATTAATTTTAATAAACATTTTTAACTCCTACAAAATAAATATTTTTAACTCTATTTTAAATCTAAATTTTAATAAACAGTTTTCAACCCCACCCTAAAACCTAAAAGATTTTCTCTACAGATATACATAGAAATATATGAGCTAAAATTTACTTATAAATCACTCTTATACTTATTATTTACATAAAATCTAAAATATTTATCTTTTATTAGAAATAATTGAGATTTATTTATATTTTTTTGTTATTTTTTAAAAGATAATATATATACACAACAAAGAATAGTGCAATCCGGCACAATAACCATTAGATAGTGGGTGGAATTTCTAATATTGAGAGTTTTTTTTATATAATAATTTTTATTTTACAATTTATTACAATTTAAACAATAAAACTGGATTCATATATACATATATATTTGGCAATTAGTATTGAAAAACAGCACATGGTGCGGACTTTTTTTGGTGTATATATTGTATGTAGCCATCTAGGGTTTGTTTTACAAATAAACATATATATATATATATATATCAGTTATACCTATAAAAATTAAGCCAAAAAAAATCT